TGTCTATGGTGTATAATGATGTGATTGTGATGCTGTAATTCTGAGTGTTTTATGTGCTGCAGAACAGGAACCTGCTGTAAAACAGCAATTAATTAAGTAATCTTTTCCTGTTGAATCAATAAATCAAATCAAATCAAATCAAATCTTGAACCCCGTGGGGACCGTGCATTGACTTCCATTCATTTTTTTATACCTTATATCCTAACCCAGACCATTTACCCTAAATTTAACCTCACAGGTACCTGAACCTAAAACTAACCTAAACCTTGGTCCTAAACCTAACCCCACACTCATAATTTGCATTTGGACCCGTGGGGACCGGGCATTGGTCCCCACAATGCACTTTGGTCCAAACGAGATTGGTTTTTAGGGAAGAATTTTCCCCACATTGTAGGAAAAACCTGTCCACACACTCAAACACACAGACATCCATATAAATGCAGCTGTTTGTCTCTGAACATGTTGCTATGGGTTTTCTAATCATCCCAGGGAATTCCCCTGTCTCTACTAAAAAAACTGGGATCATTGAAGTCTCTGGTTTAGCGTCTTTCTGCTTAAGCACCAATATTTTTGCCTCAACAACAAAATCTGTTGGGAGCTCCCACACAGGAAACGCTCCCTGATAGCATGGATGTTATCTCCCTGGCTATCAAAGAGTCATTAGTCATTGTGTCTCCGCTGGTGTGTTATTTGAAGTTGAGTTTTTAGACACATTTATGTCCCGAGTAAAGCGGCAAATGGATTTTTAGCAGAACTTTGAAGATAAATGGCTCTTTGATATTTCAACTCTTTCATTCTAAAGGGTTTTAATGGCTGTTTTGAGTCACACAAGACCTTTTCTGTCCATTGTCTCTCTTTTTTTAATCATACTTCTTTAGATCCTCTTCATAAATCTTAAGTTCCCAACATGAAAAAGATTTATCTGCAGTRAYAAATCTTTTTCRTGTTGGGAACTTAAGATTTGCATGATTTTAATTTTGAGTAAAATTCATTTTTATGATTACATAGGGCTTTAAAAATGCTGATTCATTGGGGAACTTTAATGTTGTGATATATGTTATTAATTTCTGCCAAAAGTACATGTTTCGTAGCTTTGTGCTTTTAACAAAATCATTTTACCAAGAGAAAAATGTAATTTATTGTTGACATAAGCACCGAGTATCACAGTGCACTTCTGCTGCGCTAAGAAACCCCCATCGTTTGAGGTCAGCAGTTGTAGTTGGTACGTAGAATAGTCAACTGACTTGTGTTAATTAAAATCCAAATGTGAGGTCTTTTACAGGAGGATCCCTGTGGGATGCAGACATGTTTGTTATGATTTGGTGTCAAAGTTGAAGCAAAAACATCACATGAGAGTAATTCAGCTGAAATGCTTCATATAATAAGCATACCAATGGGAAATCAAAACACTAAAGTCTACTTTGCCAAAGTTTCACACAGCAGGAGTCATTTAACCTGCAGAAAAACATRAGTTTCTTTCTACTACAAGATGAATTGTTATCTGTACAGCAGGTAGTTCATTATCAAAGTGTTACAGTAACTACAGTCAGTCTAAGCTTGTGTTCTCACCTCAAACTTGTCAGGTTTAGACCCTCCAGTCCGACCAACAAAGACCCCAGCAGCAAGCTCCAGATCCAGATTATCCGTGGACCTCTCAATGCTTTTCACTTCAGTTTCTCCATCACAGTTAAGGTACAACATCACCTTGTCGTCCTTCACAGAAATAGCAAACCAGTTCCACATGTTCGTCATGGAGGGCACTTGGAACCTGGCTGCTTCTTTGGACTGCTCTGAGCCCGGTTCAGTGTAATAAAAAATAATGTCCTGTTTGGCTCCCCGCACAGCTGAAAGTTTAACCCCCACATGAATGATCTCCTGTGAGGGATCTGTGATGGAGAAGAGGACTCCACCGTTGTCAGACGTGGGTTTCATGTTGAAGATGAGGGCAAAGTTTCTGTAGAATGAGCCTGGGAAGTGGGCGTGAGCCAGTTGACCCGTGTTGGTGTCTGGACCAAAGAGGTAGCCGGGGTTGTTGTTCGGTCCTTCAACCTTGGGGATTTCATCTGGAGGAGGATCTCCAATCAGCTCCAACAGTGAGACGCTGTTGTCTTCTGGTAAAGAGAAACAAGATGTCAGGAAACAGGAAGTCAGCAGGGAGCAGGTTAGGAGCGAGGGCAGCATGGCAGGGTTTGGAGTTAGACCAGTGGGAGGCAAAATGTAATAAATGCAAAAATAAGTGTTATTAAAATCAGACCATGAGTTAAAACTACATATTTTTGTGGGGCGCCAAGTATAAAACGAAATGTTAAAAAATGTCACTAACATTTTTTCATTATTTAGCTCACTGTTCTTATATTACGTTAATTTTAACAAAATGTTAAATTTAAATGTTAAAAAAATATATTTAATCCTAAATCTCTAGAGATTTTTATCACACTGAAAGTGAGCTAAATAATGAAAAATGTGTCAGTGAAACTTTTTAACATTTTATTTGTGACCCATCACATCGAAACGAGGATTAAGTCTACAAGTTGGATATGGAGAAATAGGCCAATATAGTGTTTTGATTAAAACATTCGCAAAAATTGCATTTTGTCAAAACTTAATGAATAAATGCCATATCAATGTATCATTTAAATGAACCTGTCTGAAATATAATCACAAAACAAAAATTTCAAGCATTTTTTGAGCAGTAGCAACAAAAAAACCTGATTTTGAGGAAAAACGCCTTAAAATTTTGAGATTTTCAATGTGAGCTAGCAAAGTTTTGTTTCATTTCAGCTAGGAAATCTCAGTTTTCAAATATAATTTGAGGTTTCTTCTTTATAAGGACATCAAAAATTCCTCATTAAAATTACATAAAATTAGGATTCAGACCAAAATATTTATGCATTATTGTAACCAACAAGACAAATTAAGTCATATATTTTGAGATTTTCAATGTGAGCTAGCAAAGTTTTGTTTCATTTCAGCTAGGAAATCTCAGTTTTCAAATATAACTTGAGGTTTCTTCTTTAAAAGGACATCAAAAATTCCTCATTAAAATGACATAAAATTAGGATTCAGACCAAAATATTTATGTATTATTGTAACCAACAAGACAAATTAAGTCATATATATGGATTTAATTAAGATATCAGAATGAGCCAGGTATCAAAATATAGCATTTAAAGCCAAGAATCTGAAAATGTAATGAGGTCATTTTGACCAAATTTGAATTAATCCTTGTTTCAATATGATGGGTCACATTTTACACTTGGCGTCCCATATTTTTGTTTAAAGCCAAAGTCAAATCAGCTGCTTAAAATACATATTTATGGGGAAAGCATTTTTGCTTGAAAAAAAACCCAGATAAACATTTTATAAGATGTTTGTGTCTGGTGATTTTTGAAGATGTTTTGCTGCTCCATTTAAAAACATATATTCATG